TAGTTAACATCGTAGGAATTAACAAGGTAGAGGTTAATTCATGTGCATTAAGTTTCGATAGGATGATAACAAATAGTTGGTTTTGATAAAAGAAGATTGTCTTTTTCGGGGGGAAGTTGTCCTACTCCAAGTTATTTTCTGGGGGGGGGGGTAATTGTCCCGCTGGTAATTGGCCGATTTTTACTAGAACCATCTGCATCAATAGGTCTACCCCAGGCCAATACGTGTTTAATACAAATGCAATAAAGTAGGCTGGCTATTACTAAATTAATGCATGCACGCTCGCTCTTAGAGAATTGCCCAAGTTCACAATCAAATTAATGTCATCGACAGTGACAACACTAGAGACTTGACTAAATATCACACGGTAGCTCTTTTACTATTCATATCATGAGGATTTCTTACCCAGAAATGTCGGTTGAAGCTCTTCCAAGCTCGATCCATGAGCTCAGAATTTCTTCCCAATGTGTCACATCTATCTCAGTCAGGGGCGTACGCAGGATTTTTTCAAGGGGGGGGGGGGGGGGGTTTAAAATATTTTGCTCCCGAAAATTTGAAAATCGCGCCGGCCGAAAAGTCGCTCAGTGGGGGGGGGGGGGGGGGGGGGGGGTAAGCGGACACTTTTTCTTTTTTTGGAGGCCAAAAAAAATCGCAACGACTCAGCCAGAAAGGTCGCTCAGTGGGGGGGGGGGGGGGGGGGGGGGGGGTAAGCGAACACTTTTTTTTTTTTGGGGGGGGGGGGGGTCTCGAAATTTCAAAATTTGACATTTTTCTTCGTTGAGGGGGGGGGGTAAGGTCACCTTATTTAGGTTAGCCGTGGGTATAATTCTTTTTTTTTTTTTTTTTTTTTTTTTTTTTAATAATGAAAAAGAAAAAAAAAAAAAAACTAAAGGGGGGGGGGGGGGTTTTAGGTTTTTTTAGGGGGGTTTACATACATAAAAATACCAAAGGGGGGGGTTTGAACCCCCACAACCCTCCCCCTGCGTACGCCCCTGATCTCAGTTCTTTTGCATCTTTCCGCACGCGCACATGCATGCACGAGACAGCTAATACCCAACCGTAGTTTACTCAAAATTGAAACAAACGAAGTTCTTACTCAATGTTGAGTCATTAATTTATTCTTTATCGAAGGTAACAAATTACTCGGATGACGAGTACCTCTAAAATTGATTTCTTACTGCAGCTTGAGTACTGAATTGCTCATTTTGTTACTCAGCTTGTTTTACTCGGCACAATTTACTCGCTGAAATTAAGAGTGCAGTTCAAGCTTTTAATCGCAATGAAAAGAGATGTGAACATGCTCCTAATCGTCTTACTGACTTTCTTCATCTGCTGGGGTCCCAATCAGATAAATAAAGGATCGTTGATTTATTTTAATAACATTCTTTAATAATTGAGGGAACTTTCACCTAGGCTTCCACAAAGCTCAAAGACGAAAGAAAATATTGCATTCAAATTTCAATACCATGAGTGTTGATAGTGTTGCACCTAATTGTAAATGCTCTATGTAGAATTTTGTTAATAGAGTACACCTCTAATTTATACCTGAACTGTGATATAACCATGCTGATTGATTGATTGATTGGATCATTGGATTGATTGATTTTATTTACCAACAGCAATATATGAATACATTTCATACAATGTGTTTACATGTAGACAAGAAGAGAAACTATTGGTTGGTAAAGGGGGCTATACTTATAATAGCACATGTGCTAGTCGAGCCTAACCCCAACAAAGTATTTTGGTACAAATCAGTTTAGAAAACGTAACAAATATCGTTAGCAATGAAAAAAGCAGTCATATTACACATGATTATTTCAGCAAATTTTGAAATTATGTGGTATTTGTGACTTAATTTGTTTCGGTGTTTACTACTAAATTGAGTTCTTGAATAATATATAAAGCATTTTGATTGATTGATAGTTATGTTGATGAGTTGATTAATGAATTAAGTTATTAGATGTATAACGATTGGCATGATGGTTGATATTTTCATTGAAATAATGGTTGAGATTCATTGTAATTAACTTATTCCTTGATTTATTTATATAAATTGGACTATCAAGAGTTATACAAGGAATTACTGTTCTTGTTTTCGTTATTATAAATTATTATCATGATCATTATCAAATTAAATGAGTGAGTGAATACCTCTGTGAGCAGAAAGTGATTCGCGAGCTCAATTAGTGTATAATTATGTTAAAGGAGTAAGACAGTGACCAATAATAATTTGGAACAAAATTATTAACATGGTTAAGTGAGTGATTTAATAGGTAGTGTATTGATACATCTCATGTCATTGTTGACTGATTGATTGATTGATTGATTGTTGACTGATTACTTGATTGATTAACTGTTTGGCTGATTGACTGGTTGGTTGATTGATTGGTTGATTGATTGATTGGTTGATTGATTGACAGGCTGATTTAGCGATTGGTTGATTGATTGATTGATTGGTTGATTAATTGACTGGTTGATTTAGTGATTGATTGATTGATTGATTGATTGATTGATTGATTAGTTGATTGATTGATTGGTTGATTGATTAGTTAATTGATTGATTGGTTGATTGATTGACTGGTTGATTTGGTGATTGATTGATTGATTGACTGGTTGATTGATTGATTGATTGATTGGTTGATTGATTGACTGGTTGATTGATTGACTGGTTGATTGATTGACTGGTTGATTTAGTGATTGGTTGATTGATTGACTGGTTGATTGATTTACTGGTTGATTGATTGACTGGTTGATTTGGTGATTGATTGATTGATTGACTGGTTGATTGATTGATTGATTGATTGGTTGATTGATTGACTGGTTGATTTAGTGATTGATTGATTGATTGGTTGGTTGATTGAATTATTTATCTATTGCTTGATTGATTGATTGATTGATTGACTGGTTGATTGATTGACTGGTTGATTTAGTGATTGGTTGATTGATTGATTGATTGATTGATTTACTGTTTGGCTGATTGACTGGTTGGTTGATTGATTGATTGATTGATTGACAGGTTGATTTATTGATTGGTTGATTATTGATTGGTTGATTGATTGATTGATTATAGAGTGAGACAATCGGAGGCTCACTGGTTTAGCCATTTCCTGTATAATCAAGTTCAGCATGATGAGTAGGTGACGGCATTATTTTCTCATAGAATCCAAAACTGCTTAAAAAATATATATCAACAAAGAACAAAAACAGTTGAAACGACATGGCCGTCAACGCTTTGGGCAAGGCACTTAAAGAAGTAGATGTTTAAACACATAGTGACAACATTATCAACGAAGATGTAATGCTTTGTGTGGGGGAGGCGATGATTTCTACACAACGATGATTTACTATTGTTTTGAGCTTGATATTTTCTGTTCACATGATATCCTGGCCAGACATAAAAAATCCAACAACTTTCTTATCTAATCCTTTTCATTCATGTAAATAAAGAATGCTTGTTTGGATACATTTCATTCCCATAACTTCTTGAACTGTATATATATGAGACCCCCGCAAGTGATTTGTTTTAATAAATCTAGGGCTCTAGAAATTTACCTTAAACTTTTTAAATACTTTTGTTTCCTTTCAAACATTTATGAATGAAATCATTGGAACCGCATTGAAAAAGCCATACACCCTTGAATTAACAGATTCATTTTGATTTGATAGACATAATTCTTTACTGTATGAAATCAAGGTAAAAACAGGGATTCGAATAAGGAAACTATTGAACTTTAGTCGCTGCCACAGCTAGAGTTCAGCCTGGTCGCTGCTCAACTTCGTCTCTGTTGTACTGCCTGTCGCCGTAGATGGCATATTGTGATTGTAACCTCAACCCCACATCAATCTACATGTACATGAAAGGCGATTCCGTATAATTAATTATGTGTGCCCATATTAATCCTATGAATAATCAATGAAGCTTTATCGTGAACTAGACATTAAGGTATTACAGTATTGAAATGGTTTATCATATTGGGGTCAATAACTGGGAATTTTGTGTGCATTCTTTTCAAATTATTGCATCTCTAAAAGAAGGGGAAAAAATACTCGATATGATGAATAACTGATGTCACTTCCGTAAAAAACTTATTTGACAAGAAAAATAGTTTTTAGTTTTTTGTCATGAGATACTTGTATAAATTCGATAGGCTAAAAAATATTGTAAACATAATAGGTACGATATATAGCTTTTTAACTCCTTTGTGTAAATCTCAAAGATGCCAGTGTATTATACGATTTCATCAAAACTATACTGGATGTAATTATTATTAATAATAATAATAATAATATCGAATATTTAGGAGCGCTAAGAACAATAAGTACCATAGCGCTTACAAATACAAATTTATGAAAAGATGACAAAAATACACAGTACAGGAAGCATATCACATAGATCATTGGGGGAAAAGGTGAGTTTTGAGGGATCTTTTGGCAAGACAGGTAATTTCCCTTATGGAAAGAGGGATAATGTTCCAAGTATTTGATGCATCTATAGTATACTGAAACGTTTTTCAGCTGCTGAGAGTCTAGATTTGGGAATGTTAAGTTTACATGTGACGGTTGCTGAACGAAGATTACGAACATGAATGCGGTCCCTCCGTTCCCGAAGTGGGGGGAGTGGGGGGGGGGGGGGGGGGGGGCCGGGGAGGGGGGCAGTAGGAGTTCTCCTTCCTATCTTTTTTGAACAATTATTGTTGAAAAGAAAAGAAAAATTGGAAATTTATATGCACCCTGGTCGAGGAAATTGTGAAAACTTTATGTGCGATTTGCTTAAAATGTGAAATTATGAGTATCTTCTGTAAATGTGTAACTTCATTTGCAAATATGTTTTATATGAACATTTATTTGTAACCTTGTATAAAGTGTTATAAATTATGTACAATTTTCTTAATGAGAAAATAAAAACCTACATTTATGAAGAAAAAAAATCATGCTTCATTGCATCTGGTGGCGCCGCGCCTTATCGTGTGTGCATGTGGCGCACTAGAGCAATGCACTTAATTTTGTAATTTCTACAAAATACCATCGCCGTCGACTTGTCGCGAAGGACTCCGCCAATTTTCGTGGAACACTTTCTTCTGAGATTACCATCAAAGCAACGGAGATGGCACAATTATCAATTAACATAACCATCCTAAGTTTATTTCTCTTGCTTCACTTGTGTGAAGGATTAGGTAAGTGATTTGATAAAGAATAACTGCGTAAATGAAAGTGCACTGCTGCAGCGATGGCGCTGCGCCTACCAACATAACTCAGTACGGAGCTTTCGGGAGCCAGTGCCCCGAAGCTCTGGCGTGGTACCATGGACGCCACGGTGTAGTTTAAACGGCGCCAGATTCCGGGTTGGTTATGTACACTGTAGGCCTACAATGTACGTATGGACGGCTAGATCTATGTGATCATGGTTTCAAGACCGGAGACAAATTATGGCAAGGTTATTATGTACTCCTAAATCTATTATCTGTGTTGTTACAGATGTGTCAACTCTACATATTCAGGCAGGGGCATTATTTATATAGACCTAGGTCTATCTCAGTTTAAATAGATCTACATTTTGAGAATTTAGAAATAAGATTAAGAAAGAGTGCTGTTTCACTTTCACAAATATTTTTGTGTAGATAATGGACACCATTCATTATTTGGTAAGAGGGGAGGGGGAGGGGGTTGATGGAATGGTGTGTCACTCCCAACATGGCTGGCTATGCACCCACATCTAGAAAAAGCATCGAAAGGGTGTCCTTTTCAGCTATAAATGTATACAGATTTCCTTAAAAAGGGGTGTTTTTCGCACTGATCGTTAAAAAAAAACACGCAAAAAGGGTACCTTTTAGGTTCACAGGTTTCAGAGTTTTTTTTAAAAAGGGTACCTTTTCAGGTATTTTTGGACCCTTTTTAAATTAGAGAATACATGCTGGTATTCATATTTTTTCGCAAAAGTGTATCCAAATTTTCCAAGGACAAAAGACATGCTACATGTAGCTCGATACCAGCACAATACACTAGCTATTACACATTCATCAACACTCTCCAAATTTTTGTCATTTCGTAATATAATTCTGGGGTATTTAAATTGTCAATATATTGCCAACTAAAACAAATTTATGCATCTAAGTTCTTTTTATATTTACCGTAAATGGAAGTATTTTGTCGATTTGTAATGTGAAAGCAGTTACAATTATTTGTTCAATATATGTTGTGAAATTAAAATTTTTCATGCATACATGTACATACTGTACATGTACATGTATATATTTCCTTTATACATTCCTGACAATCGTACCATGCTGCTCATGCATCTGGAATATTTGAAGGTCTCTATATCAAAAGCAGATGAGTTAAAATTGATATAATCTTATCATACTCAATTGCAGGGGCGTACGCAGGATTTTTTGCTCCCGAAAATTTGAAAATCGCGCCGGCCGAAAAGTCGCTCAGTGGGGGGGGGGGGGGGGGTAAGCGGACACTTTTTTTTTTTTTTTGGAGGTCAAAAAAAAATCGCAACGACTCAGCCAGCCGAAAAGTCGCTCAGTGGGGGGGGGGGGGGGGGGGGGGGGGGGGGGGGGGGGGTAAGCGGACACTTTTTTTTTTTTTTGGTCTCGAAATTTCATAATTTGACATTTTTTGTCGTTGGGGGGGGGGGGTAAGGTCACCTCATTTAGGTTAGCCGTGGGTATAATTTTTTTTTTTTAAATAATAAAAAAAAAAAAAAAAAAAAAAAAAAAAAAACCAAAGGGGGGGGTTTTAGGTTTTTTTAGGGGGGGTTTACATACATAAAAATACCAAATGGGGGGGGGGTGGGTTTGAACCCCCATAACCCCCCCCCCCCCCCCCCCCCTGCGTACGCCCCTGCTCAATTGTAAGATTCATTTCATTTTTTCAAATATTTCCTAGATGACCAGCCAGGCTACAAGTCTTTAGTTTCTTCATGGAGAAAGAACACGTTGCTCGCTGATGTACAGCTAGATGCTGGGGAGAATGTCCCTAACGTTCCTATGAGGTACAGACGTGACGTACAATCCAATGATTCACAACCTGCCGACACTGTTACGATTGAAGTAAGTACTTTTGATTCCCCATGTCTTGCAATCATGTCAAGCAATAAATTGCTTTTGCAAAAATCCCCATGCAAAGTGCAGTGACCTAAATTCCCAGCACATTCCTGCACCTTTAAACACACAGATTTTCAAAGGATTCTTTTACATTTCTTGATCAAAGGTCAATAAAGGTGAAGAAAGGTGAAAGAAGCCATCTAGGTTTTAAAAACTTTTTTTGCAATTTTTTTAGAAATTACCTACATGTATTTTCAACCTTTAATCCAATTTAATCCAGTTTTAAAGCTTTGACATATTACCACCGGTATGTCAGCACATTTTATTCTGTATTTTGTACATGTACATGTAAATACCTATCCCCATTGGTCTGCAAGAGGGGGGGGGGGGCATAGGGGGTGTTTGATAAGTTTTTAAAGCTTATGCACCATGGAGATATATATATATATATATATATATATATATATATGTCTCCATTTCAAGAATAATTGAGAAATAGTATACTGAAGAAGTTCTGCAGGATACTTTGTTTGATACCCATGCATGTACATGTAGAACCTCAGAGCATACAGATTTCAGTATTTTGCAATATTGTCTATTTTTATAAAATGAGTCACATGCAGTCATTGCAGGATTCACGCTTGAGCTCATACTGCTCAGTCACTGGAATTTGCAGGCTACGTCAAAATTATATTGTTAAAGGGTTGCTTGAACTACTGCATCAATAAATATGAGAAGTATGCATTTGAGCAAAAGACAAACATGAAACCAAAACAAACAAATTCAAAAATGACACAAAATTGAAACGAGTCGAAACAGAACATTGAATAATTGAAAACAATTGGAAAACATACACGTACAAGTGTATGTACACAGCATTACTAAAAACAAGAACTTTACTATACTATCCAGTATCCATGTATCTGTGTGTTTTAACCAAATGCAAAGAGCTGACTGTTATTTCCTCAACTTTGAAGTGAAGCAGGTCAATAGATTGATCTGTGCATGACGATGCTTGGTACAGGATTGCTCTCTTATGAATGGTTAATATGATTAGCTGGAGAGGCTCTCTATTCATTCATTGTGTGGAGTCAGTCTGTGTCAGGGGTCTGATTGCACCTATCAGACAAAGGGGCTTTCCCCCCTGTACATACATGTACATGTAGATGGAGGTGTAATCCCCCCCCCCTTGGTTTTGATATAAAGTTCTTGCTACACTACGGTATACATTTTTGTAATGGAGTAGAATAAAATGGTCCTTGAATAGGCACAAATTATTTTATATTTTTTACTTTTTCATGGAGAGGGTTTTGTTTTATATAAAGAATTCTTTTTCATACATGTGCAATAAATGTACATGTACATGTTGGTGGCAAAATACATGTCACATGTACCTTCTGTATATATCAAGAACACTAGAAATTAGTGTTTTGCTTAAATTCCACATGTACATTGAGCTTAAAGATAAAGACCAGTTATGGTCATGCGATTGCATTGCGAAAGAAACGTGGAATCGATCAGAAAAGGTTGATCATCTAGCATTGGTGTGTACTGCAAGGTTCTGGAATCATCAAAATGATAAGAAATTCGGCCCTGTCTTGGTAAAGTTACAAGCACTGTACACAGAAAGATGTACATGTACTGTATATGGGACTACGCGACACGTGCACGATATCTACATGTATCAGGTCCAAATAGATATAATAATTTACCAAATATATCAATTAGTAGGTGGTTTCTCTGCAAAATTTGTATCATCACGTATTAGTCGAAACATATTCTTTCACATGATTGGTAATAAGAGCTTCCATTTCATTTTTTGAGAGGGGGGCGTTTCCAAAACTGATCTTTACCTTTGATAGACAATTAAAAGACTTTGATACACGATATGAATTTGCATTTTCAAAAAATATTTTAAAAAGAAGATCATGCTGCTCATGATCTAGAGTCAGAAAGATACCTGTATTGTGTGGTATTTATAGTTGGGTTTTATTTGTGGGTGTTTGTTTGTATTGTGCATATTGTTGAAATGGTCGCCCCCATTTGCACCGCTAAGTGCACACCAGAACAGTATCCTGCTTGGTCATTGTACAAGAATGTACAGTAGGCAAACAGCTTGCTTTTTTCACGTATCTGCAGATTTTAAAACATTGATGGTCCCTGTAGTATGTGGGAATGGAAACAAAAAAGCAGTAGTCAACAATTTAAATGTTAAACTACACAGAGGAATTAATAATCCCTTACATATACATGTATATGCAGTGTGCATCTACATGTATAGGAAAATTGTTGCACGTGTCGATGTTGTCTGTACAAGTAATATGTTATTCCTGAGATAAAGTTTACTCATTTGGTAGCTATTGAATTGTCCGTAGCCGGTGATGCAAATTTAAATAGACTAAAATACAATGGATATTGTATACTACAATGTCTTGTACTGTACACTGTAAGTGAGATAAAAAAAGAAAACCACTCACATGGAGGAAGCCTGTCATGCATGACCATGTTTCTCTGGTTGTCACTCTCCTCATCACCTTCGATGTCTCGCCTAGCTCAGATTTAATTACGATGAGCAGCTTTTGGTTGCCATCTATAGTGCAGCTATATCAACATATTGAATCCCAGTTCATCTCTTTCTCACGTTACTTTCCCTCCCTAACCAACCGCTGACCATCTCAAAACCTGACACAACATTCTCTCAAGTCTCAATTAAACTCTCTTTCCAGATCTCTCCCCTCTTGCTCTATCTTTGTCTATCCCTCATTCAATATCTTTCTCTTGCTAGCTCTGTCTTTCCGTCTCAAAAATCTTTCTCTATCTCTCTCTTTCTGTTTCTCTTTTAGGTTTAGCAGTGTGACTGAAGACATCTAATGTTACATGTATATACATGTAGACACTTCAGTGTTTTTTTTTTCTTTTTCTTTGTTCTTTAGGATGATCAAGATTACTACATATCAAGTACTACAAGTACCAAGTAAAATATTGATTTATTTCATTGCAGGGATGAGATTCCTACGCCAATTGCGGATTTCGAGATTTCAAGACTGTTTTTTTTTTAATTTTAATGTTTTCTTTTCTTTCTAACCGTAATTACCACCGCCAGGGGCATTGCCCCTCAACCCTCATTTAATCTTCCTCCTTTTGGGGAATTTCTCTGTCTCATCCTTGTCATTGTTTCTTCTTTATGATCATGACTACCGGGTACTTCATTTCCAAATTCTACAAATCAAGTACCAACTTCTACCAGGTAAAATGTTTTGTTTCCCTCATCGTTTCTGCTTTAGGATGATCATGACTACTACATATCAACATTCTACTCTGAAGGTCGAGATTATTATCAGAACCTTGGCTCGGGTAGTTCATACAGTGTAGTAGACGTTCATGAAGCTCTCTCTGAAAGTCATCTTACTGCAGGGGTAAGTTGAATACCTTTGGGGTCTTAGGAGGAGGGGGGGGGGGGGTACCACCACATGTCAAGCAAGATTGCACTAATATATTCAGATCTAAATGTAAATTCTGTTCTTATTTTGAAAAAAATATATAAATTTTAACTCTTGAGAGCAGGCCTGATAATCACCCGATTTAAATCAGTTTTTTTTCCTAATTTTTTAATTTTCTAATTTAATAGGCAGAGAATGTTGCTAGATGCCAATTTTTTCCCTGAATCCCTTTTTTTTTTTTTTTACTTGAGGTTGAGGAATTTTTTTAAAATTTTTAATTTTTTTTTTTTAGTGCTCACTATCACCCCTGTGAGTGTTTTTATCAGTCTTGTCGCACAGCAAATCACACAGTGTTTAATCAAATTTCATTTTATATTATTCAGGAGGTACGCCTGCCATTTCAGTTTCCTTTCTATGGACACAACATCACCAAGATTTACATAGCAACAGGAGGTAAGTCAAACAAAATCTAGTACTCTTCTACAAAAGGGATGCCTCCAAGAATTTGACTACATTGTCTAAAAACATCTTCATACACTGTATATATAGGTTTATCTCTTATTTTCTTTGCACCATATGATCATGGGTGTTGTTCGTGTAAACCGGACACTTTCATGTGTTTGGGTTGTTTTTCTGAACTTAATGAGAAACATACATAAAGTCTGAACTTAATGAGAAACATACATAAAGGCTGTCTTTAATAACAAACTCTCTCTGAAAGATCTGATTGATTGTGGTATTATATTTGACAATGATCACGCTCGCCAGATAATGATCACGCTCGCCAGATAATATTTCTCACCCCCTCTAGCAACCTTTTATCTTCTCCCATGTTGCAATCACATTATTAAATCTGTGTTTTTCTCTCAAGTTCCTCAAAATATGAGGAGCTCAGTGGAAAGATGAAATACGAGCTGGCATAAAAGTCTATGAATTTGCTCTGCGTAGAAGCAAAAGTCACGAGCCTCTGTCTGTCTCCAATATCGTAGTCGCTGGCAGTGCGCCTAAGTGCCATTAATGTGTCTGACAAAAATGCCAGTACAGCGGGGGAGTACTTTTGTATGCTTCAATGGAGACCATTCTACTTGCTCAGTCTTTTGATTACATTATCTGTGTTTTTGAAGCAGTCTTCTGATTTCCTCTTTGTTATTTGTTTATTTGTGGGCATTCTTCGATCCCTATCGGAAGCTGTCACGAGAGGAATGGTTAAACTGTTTTACTGGCCATTGATTTGGTGGAAGGCTAATTTCATGATTCAGTTGTCTTACATGATTTGTATGCATTCTTCCCTTTCCAAAAGCTGCCAGGCGGAGAATTGTCATAGAACGATTCCTGCTACTAGATCACCATGGTGTATCTATACAGCTTGTATTCAGATAAACAAAATATTGTGGATATTTAAAGGGCAAATACAATTAAATTCAATTTTTAGACAAAAATTGGTAGACTGCTCTCAATCTTGCCTCAGGTACAGATCAAATAAAAAATGTGTCAGTGAATAGAAATAACAATACATCTCACTCATAAACTAGAACCCTTATAAGGGGTTTACTGTAGGCTTATGCACAGTTTGACCGTGATGTACATGTACAGGTATATATTTTATCTTATTTAAAATGTGCATGTTTAGATAAATGAAAGTGACATGAGTGCAGATGCTGTGAAGACAAATGAATGCTACATCAGAGAGAGAGAGAGAGAGGGGGGGGGGGAGGGGGGGGGAAGAGAATATATGGAAAATGTACAAATTTCATTAGATATTTTGTTGATTGATTGATCAATTTCATTTCATTTCATATAACAATTGTTGGCACAATAAAGAACATATTTTACAAAGTACATGTAAGTTCAAACAGGAATCTACTGGAAAGCATAGCTTGTTTTTTGTAGGTTCCCAATAATAAATATAATATAAACATGTTTTTCATAAATCATTTTAAATTGTCTTAATAATAATCACAGTAAAATAGATAAAATTATTAAAGACAAAGTTTAGAATGACAAAATAGAAGAAATATACCTGTATCAAAAAGAAAAAAATAGGGCTGAAGTCAATACTTGTCTGAAATTCTTTCTAAAGCTATCACAAAATATATCAAGAAAGCCAACACTACATGTTTGATTTCTCTCTTTAATTGGAATGACAAAATCTGAACACAATACATTGACTTTACTAAATCCCTCGCAAATTGAATTTAATATTCACCCTGATGTATAGATATCCCATTCATATGTTCCATAATTTCTTTTTGCCAATAAGCTTGCCTTTCATTTGAGCAAGGAATTAGCTTTAGGCAATATCTACTGAAAAGAAGAATAAAAGAAGTATGATAAATTATGGCTTCCTTAATCTGGGCATATATCATAGAGCCTGGCTTTGATGAAGACGAGTGAATAATTGCTCCCAATAATACCATCAGATATTGGTGTAATGAGATTCATGTAGGTCAGTGATGCACTGTTGTATTTTGAGAGACTTGTCTAAATTTCAGTCTGAATTGTGTACAGTACCTGTAGTTATACCAAAAAACTCTGATTTTTTTAAAAAGTGGTTGAGATTCAGAGGAGTTAATTAATGCTGTAATTATTTGAATAAGCAACATAGAATTTATGCAATGCCAGTCTTTGTAGTTAAAAGAATCCTGGTGATAAGAGAGAGAGAGAGAGAGAGAGAGAGAGAGAGAGATGGGGGGGGGTGAGAATGGGAGGAGAACAAGAGAATGGAAGAGCAAATAAGGATGAGAGATGGGGAAAGAGAAACAAGAGACAGAGAGAAGCAGAAATTGGGAGTGTGTGAGAGAAAGAGAGAGAGAGAAAGAAAGTGGAAGCGTGTAAGAGAGAAAGAGGTAGGGAGAGAGAGAGAGAGAGAGAGTGTGTGTGGGAGAAAAAGAGAGCAGCAGCACCAATGGCAAGAGAGGTATGAAAAGAAGGAGAAATGAAGGGGGAGTAAATAAGCAAGAAAGAGAAATAGGGGTTTATATAAAGAGAAGAGGTATAAAAAGGGCAAGGGATACATTATATGTTCCTTTAACAACTGAATTTCTCTTACCCGTGTAAATTGGAAGTTTTTTGTGTGATTTTCAAAACTCAAGAATGAAAGGTGGACTAATTTCATTAGGGCCTTTGTTGAATACTTTTATGTCACATTCTCAAGAAACATACATGTATATAGGAACAAATCCTTTTTTCACATACTTAACAATTTACAAAACTTGGTAAGGGTATGAATAATGTAGTTGTTGACTGTACATGTAACCACTCAATTGAAGTGTTGTCCATACATGTAGCTTCTTCTCTGCGTACGCAGCCATTCCTACAAAGAAGAAAGGGTTACCGCTACAAGTATATTGAAGGAGAGCCTATAATCTTATTAGATTCACACAATCAGTGATAGATAATGACCTGATCGTCAGGATTTATAAAAGATCTTGCTTTCAGCATACTGTCTGCTTATTGTCTCTCAATCTTCACATTCATGTAGGGAAGCTTGCATCATGTGACTGAAGAATTGATGTCAAGTAGAAACGAGGTTATTGATGTAAAAACACTGTTACAAATGGGATGATGAATGGTGTTTTTGTGTAATTCTAGAATGACAGGATAGTACGTTGAACACAAAAAGTATCAAGCAGATACATTTTCGTGTTAAGAAATTAAAATTGACATGTACAGTCGTTTACATGCCGCACACATGCAGTGCCATGTAAAATCCTTTTCAGATTTTTCCATGTTTTCTGTTTTTCCACGAAAATAAGACATAAACAGGCTTGTTAAAATCTTTCAACATTTAAATGTCTGGAATGGTACATGACTGTATTTTAAAGACAATTCATTGCTTTGTGAAGATTTTCATTATCCTAAAATGTAATTAAATTGTATTAATATACAGGTGCAGTTGGGAGAATTAAGTTTTTCCCAACTAGTATCATTAATGATAGTCTGTTTTCACTCAAACTTTCAGATTGTCTTTAATTGTACAGCATTGAAGTCATTACCTAATACAGTCAAACCTGTTTTAATGACCACCTGTCTACAAAGGCCACACTTGTTGTTTCCCTTAAAAATGGTCTCTCATTGAATCATGGACTAAAGGAACCTGTCTAGTGTACAAAGACCACCTGTCTACAAAGGCCACACTTGTTGTTTCCCTTAAAAATGGTTTCTCATTGAATCATGGACTAAAGGAACCTGTCTAGTCTACAAAGACCACCTGTCTACAAAGGCCACTTTTTGTGTTTCCCTTGGGTGGTCGCTATAGACAGGTTTGACTGTCAAACCACTTTCTCTCATCTGAACAATGTTACCAAGTACATGTACATTAACTCTGTAAAAAGACACATGAGTTTAATACTCATCAGACTCACCCATCGGTGTGATAATACTTGTATTAATACGAGAATTATGATGGATAATAGTATTCATAATGCTCAAAACAACCTCCTTTTAAAGGTCAGAATTTCCATAGCACCGCTCTTGACTTCAAAATTACCCGGTCGTTAGCAATGACTTTATGCAAACATTAATTCATATCTTCGAAATTGGAAAGAAAAATAGATGTATGTCGCCAGACTTATGACTTAAGTGGATACAGTTCTAACCAATTTTCCAAATGGCTGGCTGCATCTATAGAATTGTAAATTTCTAGCCTTGCCCCCAGGCTGTCTCTGTGCATAATGAATCAAATTTCAGGTCAAGAAGTGCCCCCAGCGGGCAGCGCTGGTTCGGTAAAGATCTTTTTCACACCCACTGAAATGATGAGGATAGGAGAGAATCCAATTAATCTTTCAACAAGCATTTCTTCAATTTAGGATTTAACACAATAGGTTTTACACAAAATGGACACCTTTGGTTGCTAAGCTTGAAAAGTCTGAATTTTTAAAAAAACAAGGGTTTCACTGTCACTTTCGCATCCTGAAAGCTGGCTAGAAGGGTGTACAAGTTTAGGGTATAAAAGTTCATATATCTTCATCTTGGAGTTTATATATTTTTCCTACAGTACTTTGATATAATGATATAAATGATAATAGAAATAATGGTAATTAACAACAAATGTTTATATGAACAAAATTAATAATAACAATAATAATAATATTATAATCTTTCAAAAAATAAAAAGTACTGTATACTGTACAGTACGTTCAAATAGCATTTTCAGCATTTTCTTTGGTATCTTTCTGATAATGCTGAAGGCTCTGGCGTATCTATCCGAGATCGCTGAAAGCTTTAGGATTAACCTACATTGTACATGTACATTTCAGGTTGAGCAATCTAGTAGCTTTAACATTCTATACCATGCGTGGGCCTTTATAATCCCCACGATGGCTCACACAAAGTGTACGGATCAAAAGCCGTGAATCTATATTTGACACATCTCCTATTATGTACAGCCTAAACCTTTGATCTTTCACACAAAGCGACCTGATATCTGTGGAACCCAACTCTATACAGCCTAA